AGATTTCCAAGACTAAATCTGGGGATATTTCTCGCTCTGCGATAAAAAATAAAAAAAAAGCAAATTTATCAAAATAAAATGAAGAAACTGGGAAAGTTACAGTTTACATATTTGTTAACATTTAAACATTAAAAGTCAAATATAAAAGCAGGACTCTGTAGTTATATTACTACTAATAATAATAATAAAAGTCAGAAATATGGGGGCAAATTGTGTTCATACTTTGTAAGCAAGCAAACATGAATAGTTAGTATTTTCTGTTAATGAACAAAAAGCCCACAGTGGTAACTGAAGTAACTTAAAACTGACAAAAGTAATAAAAAGTGTTTACTGACAAACTGATTTAGATTGTGGCTCCATTAAAATGATGGTAGTTAAAACTTATAACGTTAATGGTAGCATGAGGAGGTACCGTAACTGCTGTTGCTGGGCTCAACACGTTCCCTCACTCTTTCTACTCCCTGCTGAGCCAGCAGAAAAGGGGCAATGGAGTTTCCGACTACCGTAATAACGATCAGTAAGAACTACAAGTCCCCACCCAGTGAGGGGATAATGCTGCATTCATTGAAAATGTGAATGCAGCATCGAGAACGATCAATGCTGCATTGAGGAAAGATGTAGCAATACCAAGTGATTGGAACATCAGGAAAAAGGAGAAACTGGAGAAATACCAGGGCCTCAGGGAAGAACTGGAGAGGGCCTGGAAGGTGAAGACCACAGTGGTGCCTGTGGTCATCGGGGCCCTCGGGGCAGTAACCCCCAAACTGGAGCAGTGGCTACAACAGATTCCAGGAACAACATCAGACATCTCAGTCCAGAAATGTGCAGTCCTTGGCACAGCCAAGATACTGCAGAACCCTCAAGCTCCCAGGCCTCTGGTAGAGGATATATATATATAGATCTATATATATAGATCTATATATCCTCTGGTAGAGGACCATATATAGATCTATGTATATAGATCTATATATATAGATCTATATATCCTCTGGTAGAGGACCCGAGCTCAGAGGATCAGAACCACCCACCGCGGGTGGTTCTGATCCTCTGAGCGATTCATTCTTTCATGTCTCCGCATGCGCACCAGTCAGGGGCGTGAATTAGAATTTATCAAATGATCGAAGGACTTCACATAATAACCGATCAAATATGGAAAATATTCTGTTAAGCAGGTGAGTTTATGATGTGATTATATTAGTGTGTGTGTGTGTGTGTGTGTGTGTGGTTATATCATAAAACACACTCAAGATGCTATTGGTGATGATATTTTATTCTACAGAAATAAATTCTCAGCTGCATGACAGTGAAACTACAAACAGATGCATCATGGGTAACGCAGTGTTTATGCATTCAGTGTAAATGGTTATATTTCTTAATGCTTCTGGTTTATGCATCTCTGAATATAAATATCAGGAACCAGATGAGGCATTAAATCTGGTTCAGCCTGGAAAGTTTTCAGACGTCAAACCGGAAGTCCAGGAACCTGGGAAATGCCTTCTGTGACGTCACGGCGGGATTCGAAACTGAAAGGAAAAACTGAAAATCTCCTGAAGTCTGATCTGGACCTGCAGGTCCTGGTTCTGGTTCTGGTTCTGACCGAGGATTACAGGCTCTGAGATGTTTCTGCAGCGGCAGCTGGTGGTTCTGGTTCTGGTTCCGGTTCTTCTCGGTAAGTGACCTGCTGCTCGGTATGAACCCAACACACTCGGAACCAGGAGCGGGCCGGTCTTGTGGAGGCGAAGTTCGGTTCGGTTCCCCTGTGAAAATCTGTTCCCTGTGTCGGGAACGCGCATTGCAGCCAGAGAGGCGAATCTGATCATTTTAACGATCGATTCTGATCGATTTATCGGTAAAATAACTCATATAATCATGTCAAGGTTTTAACATTCAGTTTAATTTGCAGCTGTTGTTTAAAAATTGTATAATAAATAAATAAATAAACAAGATCTTGTGACGCTGTTTTGTTTTATTTTAAACGCCAAGAGAAACTTTTCTCACTGGCAGAAATAAGTCAGTCACCAAACTCAGTTTCCCAGCATGCAGTGCGCATGAAAAGATTTATGAGAATTTCAAACAGTTGCTCTTTATTCCCCAAAGTTCTGGAGGAAGGAGAGGAAAGAATGGATGAAATAATCTGTTCCCCTCCATAAATTAACTTACCAGCAAGATTTTCTCTGTTTATTCCTCTTATCATCATCATCATCATCATCACCAATAAATCCTGTGATTTTGATAACATTTGCTTCCTAGATGCCAGGGTTTTGAAGAGGGAACCAGATATTTTAGCTGACTAAAATAATTGCATTTTGTATGTTGTAAAAAGGGCTGCACAGTGGAGCAGTGGGTAGCACTGTTGCCTTGCAGGGTTAGGGTTAGGGTTAGGATTATTTAGGGTTATTTAGGACCTTCTTGCTGCCTTGCAGCAAGAAGGTCCTTGCAGCAAGAAGGTCCTGGGTTCGATTCCCGCCCCAGGTCTTTCTGCACGGAGTTTGCATTATTCTCCCTGTGCATGCTGGGTTCTCTCCGGGTTCTCCGGCTTCATCCCACAGTCCAAACACATGACTGTTTCTCTAAATTCTCCCTAGCTGAATGTGTGCATGGTTGTTTGTCCTGTTTGTCCCTGTGTTGCCCTGCGACAGACTGGTGACCTCTCCAGGTGACCTCTCCAGGTGACCTGGTGACCCGCCTCTCCCCCAGAACGCAGCTGGAGATGCAGCAGCTCCTCCTGACCCCATTAGGGAGAAGGATGATGAGAAAATGAATGAATGGATGAAAGTTGTAAATAAATTCCATTTTGAAAACTATTTTTGATATTTATCCTTACAAGACTTTAATATAAGGCAGTTATGGAAACATAGTTTAAATCCAAAGGCGTCTTTGATAAATGAAGAGCAAATGTTTCCAAAGCAAGTTAAAGAGTTTCTAATAAATTAATTTGTTCCCATGGTTTGAAGAGGGAACAGATTACTTTAATTTTTATGATGTAAAGTATTTTGAACTGCCGTGTTGCTCAAATGTGTTAATAAATTAATAATGGAAGGTTCTCTGGTTCTGCTCTATCTAGATCCATAATGCAGCTATGATCCATATGATTTATGGATCATAGCTGCATTATGGATCCTACCAACAACAGATCTGAGGGAGAAATGTAACTCTGCTGAACTCTGTTACTGCATAACATGGTCAGAAACTGAACTGAAGAGTTTCACAGCAACATCCTGAAGAACAGCCTGCTGCTGTCCAGCTCTGCTGCTCCTGCTTCCTGCTTCCTGCTTCCTGCTTCCTGCTTCCTGCTTCCTGCTTCCTGCTCCTGCTTCCTGCTTTCTGCTCCTGCTCCTGCTTCCTGCTTTCTGCTTCCTGCTTCCTGCTTCCTGCTTCCTGCTCCTGCTTCCTGCTCCTGCTTCCTGCTTCCTGCTTTCTGCTCCTGCTTCCTGCTCCTGCTTCCTGCTTCCTGCTTTCTGCTCCTGCTTCCTGCTCCTGCTTCCTGCTTCCTGCTTTCTGCTCCTGCTTCCTGCTTCCTGCTCCTGCTTTCTGCTCCTGCTTCCTGCTCCTGCTTCCTGCTTTCTGCTCCTGCTTCCTGCTCCTGCTTTCTGCTCCTGCTTCCTGCTCCTGCTTCCTGCTTCTGCTTTCTGCTCCTGCTTCCTGCTCCTGCTTCCTGCTTTCTGCTCCTGCTTCCTGCTCCTGCTTTCTGCTCCTGCTTCCTGCTCCTGCTTCCTGCTCCTGCTTCCTGCTTCCTGCTCCTGCTGCTTTCCTGCTTCTGCTTCCTGCTCCTGCTTCTGCTTCCTGCTTCCTGATCCTGCTTCCTGCTCCTGCTTCCTGCTCCTGCTTCCTGCTTCCTTCTTCCTGCTCCTGCTTCCTGCTTCCTGCTTCCTGCTTCCTGCTTCCTGCTTTCTGCTCCTGCTTCCTGCTTTCTGCTCCTGCTTCCTGCTCCTGCTTCCTGCTTCCTGCTCCTGCTTCCTGCTCCTGCTTCCTGCTTCCTGCTCCTGCTTCCTGCTTTCTGCTCCTGCTTCCTGCTTCCTGCTCCTGCTTCCTGCTCCTGCTTCCTGCTCCTGCTTCCTGCTTCCTGCTTCCTGCTTTCTGCTCCTGCTTCCTGCTTCCTGCTCCTGCTTCCTGCTTTCTGCTCCTGCTTCCTGCTCCTGCTTCCTGCTCCTGCTTCCTGCTTTCTGCTTCTGCTTCCTGCTTTCTGCTTCTGCTTCCTGCTTTCTGCTTCTGCTTCCTGCTTCCTGCTCCTGCTTCCTGCTTCTTGCTCCTGCTTCCTGCTTTCTGCTCCTGCTTCCTGCTTTCTGCTCCTGCTTCCTGCTCCTGCTTCCTGCTCCTGCTTCCTGCTTCCTGCTTCCTGCTTTCTGCTCCTGCTTCCTGCTTCCTGCTCCTGCTTCCTGCTTTCTGCTCCTGCTTCCTGCTTTCTGCTCCTGCTTCCTGCTTCCTGCTCCTGCTTCCTGTTCCTTCTTCCTACTCCTGCTTCCTGCTCCTGCTTCCTGCTTCCTCCTGCTTCCTGCTTTCTGCTCCTGCTTCCTGTTCCTTCTTCCTGCTCCTGCTTCCTGTTCCTTCTTCCTGCTCCTGCTGCTCTTTAACCCTCTTTCTGCTCCGATGGCCAGGAAGCCTGACAAACCTTGGAATTGGGGATTCAGTCCTGCAGCAAATAGAAGCTGAAGCTGCTTCAGTGTGTTTGGTTCTGCATCCCTGGACTCTGGCTGAGTCTGAGTCAGGCAGAGCAGAACCAGGATCGGTTCCTCTGGGTTCTACTACAGAACCATCAGCTCTCCTCAGATCGTCTCTTGTCTCTGTCCTCAGGTTCCCAGCATGTCTCAGGACTGTTGGTGGAGGTGTTTGAGGGGGCGGAGTCTGTCCAGTTGCCCTGTCGGGTCAAGATTTCTGAGTCTAATGGTTCTACAGCCGTTTGGGACCAAGATGACTTGAGGATCCTTACAGTCCATGTTCGCCAGCCGGATGGCGATTACCTGAAGGACCAGAACCGGCGCTATGAAGGCCGGACGGCCATGATGGAGGACGCGCTGCAGACCGGAGACCTCAGTCTGACCCTGAGGAAACCCACCTTCACCGACAGCGGGACCTTCACCTGCACGGTCCGCAGGCTTGGAGAAGAGCTGCACCAGGAGGTCGTGGAGCTGCAGGTCAAAGGTCAGTGTTCAGGTTCTCTGGATGCTCTGAAGGCAGGTCAACATGTTCAGAACCGCTCTGTGTTCATGATGTCTGCAGAAGCTCCTCCAGTCTGGCCCTGGGTTCTGGTGGTTCTGGTGGTTCTGGTGGTTCCGGTGGTTCTGGTGGTTCTGGTGGTTCTGGTGGTCGCTGCTGTTGGTTTGATGTACAGATTAAAAAAGAGACTCACAGCAGGTATGTTGGTCACTAGAGGATCAACCAGCTGATGTCTGAAAACATAAAGGCTGCAGAAGGATCCAGTCCACCCTGAGGTTCTCCTCAGGTTCTGGTTCTGTGGCGTTCAGCCGGGTCTCTCTGCTTTACACTCTGCCATGTTCTGGTTTCTCCTCAGTGCTTCCATCTGAGACGGTGGAGATCAGAGAGGGACTGAAGTCTGTCCTGCTGCCGGTTAAAACTCAGAAACGTCTTCACAGCGTCAGAGTGGAGTGGAGCCGTCCTGGGCAGAGGAACGTCACGGTCCATGTGTCCCAGAACGGCCAGACTCAGTCTGAGCAACAGGAGGACGTCTACCGAGGACGGACCAAGATGAAGACAGACCTGCAGGACACCGGAGACTTCAGCCTGACCCTCAGGGTCCCCCAGATCCACGACTCTGGGGTCTATGACTGCCTGGTCTCCAGAGGAGGAGAAAAGCTGCTGCAGAAAACTGTGACTCTCAGGGTCAAAGGTCAGTCTGATATCACAGTTCAGCATTGATATATATTTCCACCGTTTACCTGATACATAGAATGTGTTTAATTCTTAAACTCCATAAAGATACATTCATATATCAGATCTAAAATCTGTTTTCATAATGAAACCTTCCCTGGGAGGGTCAGCCTAAGGTCAGACACAGAGCCTAAAGACCTTTTGACCTCTGGGATTCCCTCTGCACTGGGCTGTGGGTGGAGCACAAGCCCAGTGACTTGTGGCTGGGACCTTTTCACCCCGAAGAGGAGACATGGGTCCCTCTTCCAATGGGCCCACCACCTATAGGAAGGGTCACAGGGGTCGGGTGCAGTGTGTGATGGGTGATGGCCGAGGGAGGGGGCCCTGGCAGTCCGATCCTCGGTTACAGAAACTGTAACCGTCTTGGGACGTGGAATGTCACCTCTCTGGTGTGTGAGGCTGAGAGGTTCCGGCCAGAAATAGTCGGTCTCACCTCGACACTTGGCTCTGGTTCTGGAACCAGTCTCCTTAGAGGGGCTGGATGTACGTCCACTCTGGAGTTGCCCACAGTGAGAGGCGTCGAGCAGGAGTGGGCAGACTTGTTGCTCCCCATCTCGGCGCCTGTACGTTGGGGTTTACCCTGGTGGATGAGAGGGTAGCCTCTCTCTGCCTTCTGGTGGCTGAACAGTTGTTTGTTCTGTTGTTGGACTTCTGTGCTCATCACAGATTGTCCATAATGAACACCATGTTCAGGCATAAGGGTGTCCATATGTGCACTTGGCACCAGGACACCCTGGGCTGCAGTTCAATGATCGATTTTGTCATCATTCCGTCGGATCTGCGGCCGTATGTCTTGGACACTCAGGTGAAGAGAGGTGTGGAGTTGTCCACTGAGACGATCTGGCTCTCTGGTGGTGGGGGAGGATGCCAGTCAGACCTGCTGGGAATGCAGACCTTCTGGCAGTTTCCAATCAGATGAAGCATCAATTCTCACTTCCAGGAGTTTCAAACATGTTCTGCAGAGGCGAGTGTCATTGAGTCATAGGAGGTTAACTGGAGCTGTGGTCCATCTGGGCCTGTTGGGGTGGGAACCATGGAGCCTGCTAGTGGACACACATGATGCATGTGGGACCCAGAAGCAGCCAATAGGATGGAAGTACAAGGATTGGCTGGTTGCTGAGGTAAAAACTCAGATGTGTGACAAGTTTGGAGAGACTATGGAGAAAGATTTCTGTTCAGCTTTGAGGTGATTCTGATCTGTCTGTCAGCGAGAGAAAAGGAGCAACACCGTCTACAGGGGGGATGATCTGGACATTTCTGGTCGGTGGACGAAATACTCTGAACTGCAGCTTCCATATCGCTACACTGAGCTCAGCTCAGAAAGAATCAACCAATCAGCCACAGAGGAAAAGCTGTCTGAAATACAAAGTCTTCCCAAAATAAAAATAAAAAACTCAAAGCTTAACGCAAGATTCAGGGCCACCGAGGTCAATAAGCAGGAGAAATATTTCTGTCAGCAACTGGTTGACTGGATGCAGAAAGATGCTATTAGCTGCAGTGAGTCACTGCTAGCTGGAAAACTTTTCATTTAATCAGTGAAGTGAGAGTTAAAGATGTTAATTACTCCAAATCACATTTACTAAGGAAAAATAAGAAACACAATGAGTTTTGATAAATGACATGAAGGGAGGAGATGAAATCTAAAGAGCAAAACAGTCATTACTTCACTGGAAACACCGAAGCAGGTGGAAAAAAATTAAGATTTACTAAAAAAAAAAAATCATGACAGTTCAAACAGTTTGATCCCATTTTCATTCATTTTATTTGAGATCAGGTTTCTTTGATTACAAAATTGTGAAACACATTTAACTGAGCCGTTCAGAGGTAGGAGCCCTGTGTCTGCCTTCAAAATAAAAGCACGCAAGTGGAAGATTTCAAAATGTTTTTTTAACTGCGATAAATTTTTGGTGGGACAAATGCGCCTGTCTCCAATGCCCACCACTATGGTGAGGGTCCAGAACCAGCAGGGCTCCTTAAATCTCCGTTTGGTTTGAAATGGTTCTGGTGCTCCTGACAGAGAGCCTGATGGAGGAGGTGGAGGTCGCAGACAGAGACGCGTTTGTCCGTCTGCCGTTTCAAACCGCAGCTGACCTGCCAGCAGACAGCAAAGTGGTGTGGAGCCGCACCGACCAGCAGAACTCTGTCCACGAGTATCAGAACCATCACAACCAGCCAGACAGACAGAACCAGGAGTATCTGAACCGGACCCAGATGAGTCCTGATGCTCTGAGGACCGGAAACCTCACCCTGACCCTGAACGACCCCCGACTGGCGGACAGTGGCGTCTTCATCTGCACCGTCTACAACGACCAAGACGGGACGATACTGAAACGGAAAGTTCTAATGCTGAATGTCAAAGGTCAGTAAACGCATCACGGAGGTCAGTAAACACATCACTGAGGTCAGTAAATGCATCACTGAGGTCAGTAAATGCATCACTGAGGTCAGTGAACGCATCACTGAGGTCAGTAAATGCATCACTGAGGTCAGTAAACGCATCATGGAGGTCAGTAAACACATCACTGAGGTCAGTAAATGCATCACTGAGGTCAGTAAATGCATCACTGAGGTCAGTAAACGCATCATTGAGGTCAGTAAACGCATCACTGAGGTCAGTAAACGCATCACTGAGGTCAGTAAATGCATCACTGAGGTCAGTAAATGCATCACTGAGGTCAGTAAACGCATCATGGAGGTCAGTAAACGCATCACTGAGGTCAGTAAACGCATCACTGAGGTCAGTAAATGCATCACTGAGGTCAGTAAATGCATCACTGAGGTCAGTAAACGCATCACTGAGGTCAGTAAACGCATCACTGAGGTCAGTAAATGCATCACTGAGGTCAGTAAACGCATCACTGAGGTCAGTAAATGCATCACTGAGGTCAGTAAACGCATCACTGAGGTCAGTAAACGCATCATGGAGGTCAGTAAACGTGTCACTGAGGTCAGTAAACGCATCACTGAGGTCAGTAAACGCATCACTGAGGTCAGTAAATGCATCACTGAGGTCAGTAAACGCGTCACTGAGGTCAGTAAACGCATCACTGAGGTCAGTAAATGCATCACTGAGGTCAGTAAACGTATCACTGAGGTCAGTAAACGCATCACTGAGGTCAGTAAATGCATCACTGAGGTCAGTAAACGCATCACTGAGGTCAGTAAATGCATCACTGAGGTCAGTAAACGCATCACTGAGGTCAGTAAATGCATCATGAGGTCAGTAAATGCATCACTGAGGTCAGTAAACGTATCACTGAGGTCAGTAAACGCATCACTGAGGTCAGTAAATGCATCACTGAGGTCAGTAAATGCATCACTGAGGTCAGTAAACGCATCACTGAGGTCAGTAAACGCATCACTGAGGTCAGTAAATGCATCACTGAGGTCAGTAAACGCATCACTGAGGTCAGTAAACGCATCACGGAGGTCAGTAAACGCATCACGGAGGTCAGTAAACACATCACTGAGGTCAGTAAACGTGTCACTGAGGTCAGTAAACGCATCACTGAGGTCAGTAAACGCATCAAAGGTCAGTAAACGCGTCACTGAGGTCAGTAAACGCATCACTGAGGTCAGTAAATGCATCACTGAGGTCAGTAAACGTATCACTGAGGTCAGTAAACGCATCACTGAGGTCAGTAAATGCATCACTGAGGTCAGTAAACGCATCACTGAGGTCAGTAAACGCATCACTGAGGTCAGTAAACGCATCACTGAGGTCAGTAAATGCATCACTGAGGTCAGTAAACGTATCACTGAGGTCAGTAAACGCATCACTGAGGTCAGTAAATGCATCACTGAGGTCAGTAAATGCATCACTGAGGTCAGTAAACGCGTCACTGAGGTCAGTAAACGCGTCACTGAGGTCAGTAAACGCATCACGGAGGTCAGTAAATGTCCAGGATGATGGTGTGTCTCATGTCCTGCTCTGCTCTCAGTCCACCAGGTGGACAAGGTGTCTGTGGAGGAGGGCAGAAGGTCGGTTGTTCTTCCCTTTAAGGTGTCGCCTCCTGCTGTCTGAATCCTCCGCTGTGGAGTGGAGCCTGTTAGACCGAGGGAACAAGTTGCTTTGCAGACATTGTAAAGGCCAGGACTCATCAGCACAGGCTGAGGGCAGTGAAGGCCACACGATGAATGAAGAGCTGATGACAACTGGAAACCTGAGTCTGACTATCAGTAATGTGTGTCTGACTAATAGTGTGTATTCCTGCTCCGTCTATGATGAGCATGGAAAGATCCTCCGGCAGAAAGTGGTGGTCCTCATACTCAGAGGTCAGTGAAGGCAGCACATCAGAACCCAGCTCTGCTCGGTCTGGACGGATCACCTTCTGCTCTGGTCCTCAGGTTTTCAGTCGGAGGTCGTGAAGGTCACAGATGGGGAACCGTTGGTGCCACTTCCTTTCAAAATCCCTGCTCCTCTGGACGAGGACGTCAGGGTGGAGTGGACCCGTCCTGACTGCAAACAGACGGAGATCATCACCTTTAAGAACGGAGAAGTTCATCCCCCCAAACACAGCCTGGGTTACCATGGCCGCACAGAGATGGACAAAGACTTGCTGACGTCTGGAGACGTCGGTCTGGTCCTGAAGCGTCCCCGTCCTCAAGACAACGGCCTCTACAGATGCACCGTCTACAGCGGGGACGAGGTCCAACACATGAAGATGGTGACGCTCAGTGTTGGAGGTCAGTAGATCCAGAACCATCACAAGCTGCTAACTGGGCCAGAAAACCCACCAATCTGATGATCCAGGTTCTGAAGAGAGAGGATCCGTTCACCAGGATCCAGAACCGTTAGAGTTCCTGTAATCCCAAAGACCAGGGTCAACACAGGGTCAACAGAGGTCACACTCAGCTGTAGCTTCAGTCACATGATGGATGAGTTGATGTTCCTTCTGGTCTGCAGAACCTTTGGGCTCCAGCTTCACAGACCGACTGCTGGTCTGCAAGGAGAGGAAAACCTCCAGAGACCCAAACCCTGCAGAGTAAGTTTCCTCCTGTTCTGCTCTCTGATTGGTCATCAGAAATGTTCTGCTCTCTGATTGGTCATCAGAAATGTCCTGCTGACATGTTTGTAACCTGAGTTCCCCCCACTCCCTCCATCTCTGTCGCAGGCACAGGAAGGGGGAACGGGGGAGGGAGGTCGACAGGGTCATGAGCCCATTTTATCTCTGATGCCCTTTGTGTTTTTTATTATTATTTTTTGTATGTCAGAAGACGTGTTTCTGCTCCTCCACAATAATAATTTAGCTAAATTTAATAATTTATCTAAATAAATCAGCCTGACTCTCCGTCTAATAATGATTCAGTTTCTCTGCCTCACAATAGCAGAAAAACCTCCATGACCCAAAAACAGAAAAGCTTCGGCTGCAGAGAAACTCTGACTTTAAATAATCATTCTGCTAAAAGCCCGGTTCTACAGGCCGACTGGGTCAGAACCACCGACAGATAGAAACAATGTCTGATTTTATATCAGACATCCTGATGTGAGACACGATACCGAGACTGTCACTACGAGTCGCAACGCAGCTCAGAGCCCCAGTACCATCCAGTACCAACTGGTACCACCCGGTACCAACTGGTACCACCCGGTCCCACCCAGTACCACCCGGTACCACCCAGTACCACCCAGTACCAACTGATACCACCCGGTACCACCCAGTACCACCCAGTACCAACTGATACCACCCGGTACCACCCAGTACCAACTGTACCACCCAGTACCACCCAGTACCAACTGGTACCACCCAGTATCAACTGGTACCACCCGGTACCACCCAGTACCAACTGGTACCACCCAGTACCACCCAGTACCACCCAGTACCAACTGATACCACCCGGTACCACCCAGTACCAACTGGTACCACCCAGTACCACCCAGTACCACCCGGTACCAACCAGTACCATCCAGTACCAACTGGTACCACCCGGTACCACCCAGTACCAACTGGTACCACCTGCTGACTGTTGGCTCTGCTTCTCCTTAACGTTTCCACCAGGCGGGTTCAAGTCTCTGCTGACGGTTCTGGTTCTGGTTCTGGTTCTGGTTCTGGTTCTGGTTCTGGAGGTTCCCGGCCCTAAACAGAAGTTCCTGCAGAACCTCAAGTGTTAAAGGAAGATTTGGCCCGATTAGAGTCACACAATAAACACCAGAGAAAATACTGGATCAATAATCAGAGCCGCAGCATAAAACCAAACATGATGCAATTAAAACAATCAAAATGTCTCCAAAGTATCGGCGGGCTGACAGGGACCACCAGGTGATTCAGGTAGAATCCAGGTGATTCCAGAGATGCAGTATGGAACAGATCAGCTTGAGTCTCTGGCAAAGAGCAAAGATCTTTATTTCTCTGTGGTTTGCAAAGAGAGAAAATGCAGCAGCAGCAGCTGAACCAGTAGCTGCAAGTCTCACAATATACAGGATTCTTTACACAACATGGTCACTTCCTGACCCAGAGCCAGTTGAACAGGTTTACTGCCCAGTCATGGAGCCACAGGATGGACAGGATGCATCTCTCCTTACTGAAAGGTCAGTTCATTATTTACTTAACAAACATCTTGTTGTACAAAATATGGGAGTTTCCAAAAATCAGGATGATAATGGAACAATTTTCCATACCAAAAACATTGTCAGACCTTCTAGAACATTTTCTCTGAGCTTCTGACATTCAATGGAGAGATTTGTTTGACCTTATTATTCCATCTTACTGTATTTACCTAAACTATCTGTTATTATCTGTTAATAAACTCTGAGTCTTTGCTTTGGACTCATGTGGTGAGACATTAGTCTCTCTTGGTCTACATACTTTATCTGACTCAATTAGTAAAATGGCAGCAAATGAACTTATTTCATAACTTCATGACCTTTGACCTTCTCTCCTGTCGTCTGTTTAACAGCTTCAGTCTCAGATCAACAGCAGAAACAGAAACTTTATTCCTGTTGGAGAAAATAAACATTTGCTTTGCATTGATGGAAGTGATTTAGTAGAATCCAATTAGATTATTGATTATTGATTATTGGTTTGCTGCTGTGTTGCTGTTGGTGTTTTAACATCTTCAATCATTTTAAGTATTTAGTGAATATCAGTTTCTATTCTCCCTCTGCACAGTGAGGGATGTTGTACAGACTAACATGTTTCTGACTGAAATCTGCTCCGTTTCAGGAACGTCCAGCTGTTCGAGGTCTTCAACTCGTCCATGAACCAGGACTGATTCTGGACCAAGCCTCGGTTCTGGTGGATTATTGTTGTGGGTCAGATCTGGATGTTCTCAGAACATGTTTGGTACCAGGAACCCTGAAGCCGGACCTGTTAATCCAGAAGGATTATGGTCTCATTCAGAGAGCAGCTTGTTGCTCTGTGAGGAAATTACATCTTTCTTTCTAGAAGGAGAAACTTTGGTTTCCTCTGTTGAACAGCCAATCTATAAGTTCTACATCTACATCCAGACAGTGGAACCAACAAGCAGCCTGGTCTTCAGGTCCTGTCTGAGACACACACACACACACACACACACACACACACACACACACACACACACACACACACACACACACACACACACACACACACAAGGAGGGGTGGGGGAGAAAAAAAACAACCAATACATAAACATAAATAACAAATTCAAATCACAACATTTTACTTTAACACCATAAATATTATAACAATAGAGTGAGAGGAAGACGTCAACAGGATGAGAGGAGGAATCTGCTTCCTGCAGCCTGATGGTTGGTTCCAGTTATTGGTTTGAGACGATCAGCTCCTCCCAGCCAGTCACTGAGAAGATGGAGGAACCTCCACACTCAGCATCACATTTATAGACTCGTTACTAAACAATCCTAAAATAGGAATAGACTCTGAGTGGGATAGTTAAAGCCCAGATGATAAAAGACAAACTATTGGATTTATTTATCATCAGTTTCTGCTGGGCCCCAGCGCCGACTAAAAGTGTTTTTAATGAGTCGTTTATTCTATTCTATACATTCAATTCCTTACTGTTTGAACCCATAAGTCATAGGAAAGTGGCTCCAGTTGCTGATTGTAATACATTTCAGGTTTGCTGCTGTAAAAAGGATATTTAGCAGATATACTTTAGCCCGTCTTGCAAACCTTCTGGTATAATACCAAGCAGTGCAACTGTAACATCCTTTGGTAAAACTCCTGGTAAGATATGGCTTATAGCTCCATACACCTCATCCCAAAAGTTTTGAAGTTTGGGGCATGACCAGAAAATGTGTGTATGGTTGGGGTTTGCTGAGCCACAGTTTCTCCAACACAAGCTTGGAACCGTAGGGTCCATCTTAGCAACTACATCTGGGCTCCTGAAATATCTGCTAATAATTTTCCATTTAAATTTCCGCCACATATTTGAGTTTGTAACTCGATGTGCTTCAGTCCAGACTCCCTCCCATGTTTCGTCAGAAATGATTTTGGCCGTCTCTGCCTCCCATCTTTGTTTCGTCCAAGTGGGTTTGTGAAGGTTCATTGACAGGAATACACTATATAACTTTGCTATCAATCTTTTATTCCCTTCCCCTTTCTGAAAATGGATTAGAAGATTTTCTATTGGTGTGGGATTTAGTGTTCTTTCCCAGTCCCTGTGTGCAGACAAGAAAGATCGCAACTGTAAATATCTAAAGAAATCACTATTCTGGAGATTAAAATTTCTACATAACTCTTCAAATGACATAAGTCCCTTCCTGTCAATCAACTGGTGAATGAATATAAGCCCCTGTTCAGCCCACTTAGAAAAATTTCTGTCTAAGAAATTGGGTGTGAAGGATTTGACATGTCCAATACTTGTTAATATTGATAAACCTCTTGGTATTTTGAATGAAATTCGCACTTTGTTCCAAATGTTAAGAGTGGTTTTAGTCCACAGTGGCAGTTCCTTTACTGGAATATCTAAAAATGGCAAAACCTTTAATGGTACTGAGCACTTTGCTTGCTCAATGCTCAGCCATCTTGTTTGAGAATCCATGAAATTAAAGGCCTTAACTGAGCTGCCTAAAAATAGTATTTTAAAACAGGAAGACTGAGACCCCCTTCCATCTTACTTTTTTGAAGTGTTTTATATTTTATGCGAGGGCGCTTGCTTTGCCATATGAATTTCGATATCATTTTATCCAATTCAAGGAACGTAGATTTTGGTATGATAACCGGCACCATCTGGAACAAATACAATAATCTGGTAACAGATTCATACGAATGGTTTCAATGCGGCCGAGGAGGGACAGAGGCAATGCTGACCATCGCTCTAGATCCTTTTTAATTATATCCAGCGTTTTGCTGTAATTGACATGATACAAATCATTTAATGAGAGGAATATTGATGAACTTAATGCCCTCCCTTGGCCACCTAAAGCCGCTTTGTAGTTTAACCCCTAGTGGAATATTTACATCCATTGCCTCTGAATTATCAACATTTAGTTTATAGCCAGAAAAATGGCCAAAAACAGAGATCATTTCCCTCAGATGTGGTATTGATGATGTACAGAAGAACATCATCTGCATAAGGAGATATTTTATGTTCCTCCGCACTAATCAGAATCCCTTTAATTTCATCATTATCCCTAATAATCTGGGCTAATGGCTCAATGCTGACTGCAAACAATAGAGGTGACAGAGAACAAACGCTCTACATCCAGATTGAAACTCATAGACCTGAAACCATTAACTGACCGCCGCCTGTGGGGATGAATATCATGTGAGGATCAAATCTATGAACTTTGACCCAAATTTAAACCTTTTTAACACTTGAATAAAGTTTTTATTAATAAGATTTTTCCATGACACTCAATCAAAAGCCTTTTGAGCATCTAAACATATTACAGCCTCATAGATTTATTTTCTTTATAACTCTATAACTATAGATCTATAGATAGTTATAGAGCTCTACATCTAGAGTTCTAGATCTATAACTCTAGATCTATAACTCTAGATATATAGTTCTAGATCTATAGCTCTAGATCTATAACTCTAGATCTAGAGCTCTAGATCTATAGCTCTAGATCTATAACTCTAGATCTATAACTAGATCAGTAGCTCTAGATTTATAACTCTAGATCTATAACTCTAGATCAGTAGCTCTGATTTATAACTCTAGATCTATAGCTCTAGATCTATAACTCTAGAACGTTCCTCTTTTAGGTCCAAAAATAATGACTTCAGTTTTGTTTTTGTCCAGCTGGAGAAAGTTTTGGCACATCCAAACATTTATCTGCTCTAAACATTTATTCAGTGATTGGATGGGGTCAAAGGTCACCTGGTGACATCATAATGTAGAGCTGTGTGTCATAGTTATGGTAGCTAATATTATTTCCTGTTATGACCTGAGCTAGTGGGAGAATATAAATATTAAATAAGAGGGGTCCTAAGATTGAACCTTGGGGTACCCCACATGTGACCTTTGACCTCTTTGATGAGAAGTTTCCAATTGAAACAAAGAAATCCCTGTTCTTTATGTAGGATTCAAACCAGTCGAGCACCGAACCCGGAGAGTCTGACCCAACTCTCCAGTCCATTCAGTAATATGTCAAAAGATGCACTGAGGTCCAACAGAACCAGAACCAGAACCAGCACCGTGGTTCTCCCACAGTCCGTATTTATATGGATATCATTGAATACTTGACTAGGCCAGTCCGTGCTGTGGTGAGCATGAGGAAAACTATTTAATTGTTTACAGTTTTTTCAAGAACTTTGCTGATGAATGGGAGGTCAGAGGTCAGAGGTCGGCTGTAATTTGTCCAGGTTGTTCTTTTTTAACAGTGGTTTAATGACTGCTGTTTTCAAAGCCTGGGGGAAAACACCTGATTTGAGTGATGAGTTACTATTAGGATCAGATCAGTAGCAATAACAGGCAGGACTTTCTGAAAGAAATGTTCTAGAGTTATAGATCTAGAACATCAGACAGCAGGAGCTTGAACTTAATTGATCATAATTTCTTCTAGGGTTTTATAATGAAGTAGTTGAAAATGGGTCATTTCCTGTATTTGTTCTGTTTGGGTTCAGCAATGGTTCTGGCTTGAAGTTGATGTGCAGATTAATCCTCTGATTTTTTGGATTTTCTCTGAAAAGAAATCAGAAAAACTTGTTCCATCAGCATTAGATTGGAGTTCAGGTGGAAACGTCACAGGAGGGTTTGTGAGCCTGTCAACTGTTGCAAATAAAGCTCCAGCATTGTTCATGTTTTATTTATGACATCTGCAAAGAAAGCTCCCTTGCATGTTTTAGTGTTGAGTGATAGTTACGTAGTCTTTCTTTATAGATGTCATTATGAACGTGAAGTTGAGTTTTACTCCATTTTCGTTCTGCTCTGAGACAGAGTTCTCTGCAGGTCGAACTGTTTGTGCTTTTCTCCATGGAGATTCTTCCTACCAGTCAAAACCTTTACTTTAATTGGGCCAATGGAATCAATAATATATGAAACTTTAGACTGAAAATCATCTACCAACTGATCTACATCATTACAGCTTAAGGGTGAGGAGGAAGAGTAGATTTGATTAAATGTTTTTCTGCTGTGTTTTCTGTGAAAGAACGTTTTGTGACAGCAGCTGTTTGTCCAAGTGGGTCAAAGAATAAAGAACCTTCAAAGATAACAGCAAAGTGATCCGACAGGGCGACATCAGTTACAGAGACATTGGAAATATTCACACCTTACTGATAAGCAGGTCCAGTGTGTGTCTTGAGTGTGTGTTGCTTGTTTCACATGTTGTGTTAAACCAAAATTTTCTAAAATATTAAAAGCTTTTTTGCCCCTCTGTCTTGGGGTTGTCCACATGAATGTTGAAATCACCAATAATTATTAAACAATCATAATCAATGCATATGAGAGAAAGAAGATCATTCAAGTCAGTAAAGAAATTTTCCACATATGCTGGAGTTTTGTATAAAGTTAGTGTCAAAGTTCGTTTGAAGCCTTTACCTGAATTCCAAGATACTCAAAAGATGTGAAATGACCGAAAGAGATTTTACTACAATTTTGGTTTTCTTAAATATAGAAGCCACGCCTCCTCCTTTTTTATGTTTCTGTCTCACTTAAAAAATTGTAGTCAGGAGGCGCTGATTCAATGAGTACAATTTGGTCATTATCGTCATTCAACCATGTTTCTGTCAGAAAACATAACATCAACATTATACTCAGTGATGAAATCATTAATTAACAGAGCTTTAGCACAGAGTGATCTGATATTAAAAGAGCTACTTTAAGTG